CCTCCAGGCTTCGGCTCGCTGGGTATGATGACCAGTGTACTGGTGTGTCCGGACGGCCGGACCGTGGAAGCAGAGGCTGCTCATGGCACGGTCACTCGTCACTTCCGCTTTTACCAGCAGGGGAAGGAGACGTCTACTAACCCTATAGGTAAGTGTGTGTTTACCTGTGTGTGTGTGTGTGTGTGTGCTTGCGTGCGTGCATACGTGTGTGTGTGTGTGTGATAGGGAATTTTATTGAGTGGTTGGATAGCGTCATCTTTAGGTCCCATACCTTTTCTTTCCTCTCTGTCTGTCTGTCTGACTCTGTTTGTCTGTCTGCCTGTCTGTCTGTCTTGTGTCTTCCCTGCACTAAATTACCCTTATTGGGCTTCTCTTTATTCAAAGTCAAAACTGGAATTTTCTCTTTTATCTTCTTGGGTGGTTGGTGAATGCTCTGGTGTGGTATGCTCCTTCTTTCCATTTAAGCTTCTATCGTCCTTATCTCTCCTCCTTCTATTTATATTATTTGTTACTCTCTTGTAACACCTCTAATCTTCGGCACTTCTATGACCTTATTGTGTTACAAGTGCAGTAAAATACTTACTAAAACTAAACATCTCTCCTCCTTTTTTGTATTTGTTACTCTCTTGTAACACTTCTAATCTTCGGAATGGGGGGCGCCACTGGTAGGTCCCACTTCTTTACTTTCCCCTCTGTTGTTTCTGTCTGTTTGTCTTACTTTTCCCCAGCACTAAATGACCTTTTGTTTACTCAAACAAACATCTAATCTTCAGCACTTATATGACCTTACAGTGTTGCAAGTGCCGTAAAACTCCTACTATAACTAAAAAACTCTTTTATCTCGTCTCGTGTCACTTTTCAGCCTTGTGGGTGGTTGGCGGGTGCTCTGGTGTTGTTTAATTTTTCTTTCCTACCAAACATCTGTTGTCCGTAGCTCTCCTCCTTCTTTTTTATATTTTGTTACTCTCTGGTAACACCTCTAATTTTCGGCACTTATATGACCTTATTATTGTGTTGCAAGTGCCGTAAAACACTTACTAAAACTATTTTTAAAAACTTCCTAATAGGGAATTTTATTGAGTGGTTGGAGAGCGCCACTGGTAGGTCCTATACCTTTTCTTTCCCCTCTGTTGTGTCTGTCTGTCTGTCTGTCTGTCTGTCTGTCTGTCTGTCTGTCTGTCTGTCTGTCTGTCTGTCTGTCTGTCTGTCTGTCTGTCTTGAATCTTCCCTGCACTAAATGACCCTTGTTGTATCGATGTGCTTCTCTCTACTCAAAATCACAACTGGAATTTTCTCATTCATCTCGTGTCGTGTCACTTTTCAGCCTCCATCTTTGCCTGGTCCCGGGGCCTGGCGCACCGTGCCAAGTTGGACGAGAACAAAGAGCTGGCCAGGTTTTGCAGCAACCTGGAGGCAGTGTGCGTTGAGACGATCGAGGGCGGGGTCATGACCAAGGACCTGGCCATCTGCATCAAGGGCATGAGCAAGTGAGGGAAATATGACGTACACACTTACACACACACTGTACACACTTACTGACACACACATTATACATCAATGGGCATGAGCAAGTGAGGGAAATAGTTTTATATATATATATA